CCACTGGGCCGGCCCAGGTTTCACCTTTTTGAATCTTGGCTCTGCCATTTATCAACTTTATCTCCTTGGACAAGTTACTTAATCTTTCTAAAAGTTTTTTTCACTTGTTTTTTTCAGTATGAACCCCAGGGCTTTTACTCCGTTAGCCATCTCTAACCTCTCAACTAGAAATAAGATCCATCAAATTGATACTTATTTACAACATTCGCCAGTAGTTTAGAACTAAATGTTATCGATCAATTGAAAAATAGCTCACATACTTATTTATAAAGGATTTGGTTACATTTTTGTTCATTTCAAATCTAAACCTAAAGTTTGGGTTCACACTATGATCTTGAATTCTTTTTTAGGAAATTGATTCCAAGAAACAGTATTATGGAAGCCTAACTTTGTGAAACAATAGTTATCACAATAGAATATTTTTGAAGAGACCAATAATTATTTCATTAACTTCAGTTATTGTTCATATTTATAAAACCTTGGGTTTCTGAAATACAATAAAAATACTGTTATTCTACTAGAAGTCTGAAGATATGAGAGATCTACTTTTTTTTGTAATTTTAGAATTAAATGTCACACATACCTTCAAATTAGTTTCTATATTTTATTTCTAGTTTGAATCCTTTTGCAACTTCCTTTAAGAAAATTGTCTACAGAGAATATGAACCATATTTTAAGAAAGAAAAACCACGATCTAGTATTTCAGGTAAGCCTGTGTCCCATTTCTGTTGCTTGTAACAAAATACATTGAACTGGGTAATTTAGAAAGAAAACAAAATTTATTGCTTACAGTTTCTGGGGCTGGGTAGTCCAAAATCCATCTGGTGGTGGCAACATTGGAAGTGTCCAGGGGTCTCACATTGCAAGATGGTGGAAGCAGAGAGAGCAAAGAGACAGACTCTCCTTTCTCTTCTTTTAAAGCCCACAGAACCATGCCCCTGACCACCATTTTTAATCCATTCACTACTGCATGGTCCTACAATCCAATCACCTCTTAAGGCTCCACGTTTCAATTACCATAATAGGATTTCCCACACTGTTAACAGTCACAATGGGGGGCCAAGCTTCTAATACATAAAACTTGGGGGACACAAGTCAAGCTTCAGTGAGTTTAGGGGGGACATAATTCAATCCACTACAGCCTGAAATATATTTTTATATTATAATATATATACAATTAAAAATATTTAATTTTAAAGATAAATTCAATGCATAGTTTGATATTTATATGTATCTAAAATATCCACTTAGTGACATTTTATAAGAATGTGTGCTGTTGTTTTTAATCAATACTGGCTATGTAATATATGGGGCCCAGTGCAAAATGGAAATTTGGGGCCCTTTGTTCTTATTATTGAGAAATTCAAAATAGGGACAGCAAAGCATTCAACTAAGCAGGGGGTCCTTCTGAGCATGGGGCCCTGGGAAATTGTACAGGTCACATGCCCATGAAGCCACCTCTGTTTTAAACCTTGATCAAAACAGCTAAACAAAACTTTTTAGTATTTGGATTTTTACTCATTCATCTAACAAACTATTCTTGAGCACCTTCTATGGGGCTGGGCATCGAATTAGGTGCTGTGGATGCAATAGTGGACAAGATAGACTCTTTCATATCCTGCCTTCATGGAGCTTATGGCCTAGTTTAATGAGCACAGATGTGCCTTGACATAATGATCTTTTGCTCCCATCTGGCTCCCTAGACTCATTCAAAGGAACTGCGCATGGCTAATTCTTTTGCATCTGTCTTTCCCATCTATTCTCCTATTTAGTGTGACGTATATAATAGCTATGATTTTTAAAGAAAATCTCTTTTTTTCCTCATCTCTTCTTTAATCAAGGAGACTAGGTTGAATAGGTTTCTAGAATCTTAACCATATTTCACAGGAATGATAGAGACCATCGAGGAAGAACTTCCTCTAGTTGGGTCCCCTTGTCAGTAACTCACCCATTTCCCCACCCCTCCCCCCAGTCCGGTGAAGACCTGCCATCTTTTTCAGACTTATCCTTCTACCTCACTTTTTCATCCCTTCTGTCTCTTCTGATCTCCCTTAATCCTCAGTCTTTCCTTAATTGGAGCCTTCCCTTCATCAGTAATAACAACAAAAATAACCCATGTTCAAGTTAACCCCTATCTAGAAAAAGAAAAAATTTCCCCTTGACCCACCCATCTTTTCATTTTCTCTTTTCTTTCACTACCAATTTGCTGTATGAGGAATCTATACATTCTCTATATTTCCTCGCTAACCTCCAATATGAGTGATTCCACTAAAATAACTCTCAAAAAAGGACACTCATGACCTCTGAGGTGGCAGAACTCATGGTTTCTTTCCAGTTCTTTTACCACTTGACATCACTAGGACATTTAACCCTCTCCCTTCTTGAAGCTCTCTCTTTACTTGGTTTTCCTAGTTCCACTTACCCTGCTTTTCTTCGGGCTTCTCTTACCATTCCTTCTCAATCTCCCCACTGGATCTTCTTCCCTAGGGTTCCAGCCTCAGCCACAAACATGGCTGTCACTACCACCTATCCCGAGGCCACTTTCTCTCTGAAGCTATGCTGACTCCCACTCCCTGCCAGCAGAATTAACACTTCTCTCTTCTGTATACCCCCAGCACTTTGAACTAATTCCTACTTTCTAGGCATTTTGTGAGGATCAATTGAGTTAATAAGTACAAAGTACTTACAATAATGCTAGCGCATGATTAACACTTCTCTCTTCTGTATACCCCCAGCACTTTGAACTAATTCCTACTTTCTAGGCATTTGGTGAGGATCAATTGAGTTAATAAGTACAAAGTACTTACAATAATGCTAGCGCATGAAAAGCACTTGATAAAAGTTAGCTACATTATTGTTAGTGTTGCTCTTGTTACTAATCATACCTCTATTAGGTCATACATGTCATGGTATTGTGAATATCCATATATGTATATTTCTTCACTCATATATATTCTTTGTATATGATCATTTATATGTACATTTATTTTTAAATAAATATGCACTTAAATATTCTTTTCTTTTTAAATAATTGTGTATTAAGAACCTAACACATTCTAGGCTCTGGGAATATAAAAGTGAATAAGACATGACTCCTCACCCCCAGGAGCCATCCAGCTACTGAGGATGTCCCATAAGTAGACAGCAATTACAATAAAGTAATGAAGAAAAACTATGATGAGAGTTCTCTCGTAGGGCATAGGAGATCTATCTAGTGGTGTCTAGTGGTCAGGAGAGTTTTCTATTTCTAAGTTGACAACTGAAAAAGCAGTAGGAAATTTGAATGCCAAGTTGGGGGAGAGGGGAGAGATGAATTTTAGACTAAGGAAGCAGTCTGTGTAAAGGTTTAGAGGTGAGAGAGAATGGTGTACTTGGGGAACCATAACTGGATCAGCACAGCTGGGGCACAAACTTCAAAGAAGGAATCAACCAGAGAAGCGACTAGGTGAGGACGCGGACCATATCAGGCAGCCGTGTAAAGGCTTTACCTTGAGGGCAATGGGGAGTCACTGAAAGGATTTACGTAGAAAAAAGACAGACTCAGATTTGAGCTTTAGAAAGACTGAACATTCTTTCTTGTTCAAATGTAGAGAATGGATTGGAGAAAGGCAAGTCCAGAGCCAGAGAAACTAGTTATGGACTGTTGTGTCAATCCAGGTGAAAAACCAGCAGGGTGGTTGAGATGGAGAAAATCAGATGGATTCCAAAGATATTCAGGAGCTAAAATAAATTTGGTGACCAACTGGATGTGGATGATGAAGAAGGAATTACAATAGACTTTGAAGTTTCTGGTTTGAATGGCAGAGTGAATATGGTGCCATTTGGTGAGAAAGTAAGGTTAGGAGAAGGAGGACATTTGTGAGGGAAGCTGATGAGTTCAGATTTGGAGTTTGAGGTGTCTGTGGAATATCTACCTATAGATGTCAAGTGTCAAATATCTACCTAGAGATGTCAAATGATGTAGAAGTTTAGCCCAGAAGAGAGACCTGAGCTAGATATAAATTTTGGGAAGACATCAGAACAAAGATGGTAAATGAAGCTTTGATAGGCTGTGAGCTCACCCAGGGGGAGTCTGATGAGAACAGAAGGCTGCAGATGGAGCTCAACATAGCAACAACGCCCACGGGACGGACCAAGAAAGAAAAGTACACCAAGGAGCTTGAGAAAGTCTGCCCAGAGAGGGCAGAGGAAAGCTAGAGAATGTGGTATCCTGGAAGCAAAGGGTCAAATGCTACCAAGAGATACTACATAAGGAACAAAAGAACTATCTTTTTTTTTTTTTTTTTTTTTGTCTTTTGTCTTTTTTCCGTGTCCGGCAACGGATCGCAACCCTCAGTGTTGCCCCCGTACCGGACCGGGGACCGGCAACGGGATTGCAAACCTCGGTGTTGCTCCCGCGCCTCGCTCAGCCAGTGAGCGGGAACCAGTCTGTATGTGGGATCCGAACCCTCGGATGGGAGCGCCGCCATGCTTCCCAAGCGGCGCACTATCCAGTGCGCCACCGGGCCGGCCCAAAAAAGAACTATCTTTTGTTGTGGAATAGTGGGGCAATATCAGATGGCAGGGGGTTAAGGAGTGAATGGAAGGTGAGGAAATTGAAACAAGAGGAACATATAGATAACTCTTTCCTGGAACTTGGCTCCTACTAGGAGGAGAGACATGGTAGTTCTGGAGGGGAATGAGGAATGTAAGGATATTTTGGAATTTTAAAAATAGGAATACGAAAACAAAATTATTTAAGGGAAGAATTCAATGGAAAAGGAGAAGATAAAGACATTCGAGAGAGTGATTGATGGGGCCTGACTCAGAAGCATCAGGAAGTGCAAGGATTCAAAGCTTGGGCTGGCTCAACCTTAGGTAGAAAGGCTGTTACCTTCACTGGGGCTGGGCGAGGGCAGGAAGGTTGCCAATAAAATTGAGTTTGTAGTTGGGGGCAGGAAGTTAAAGGATCTCGTATGCTCTGTCACAAAGTCTATTCGTTTTCATAGCTCCAGATTCAAGCTTAGAATGTACAATAAATACTTAAAAATGTCTAATTAAATTGTGGATTGGTAAGGAGAAAATGAGCTGGAGTACATGTTTATTAGGCCTGGGAAAAGAGGAGTTCAGCAGATATCTGGAGGTGTACGGTTTGTGGTTTTTGCCAAGTTAAACAAAGTTTAATGCCTTTGCTCTGTAAGACACTGTGCTGAGTGCCATAACTGATGAAAGGACCAATGCCGGCTGGAGACTTTTAAGCAATAAGGAGACATTGATAGTTTTTGAAGAGGATAGTACTGTGATCAAAGTTTTTTCAGATGATTAAATTTTGTAATGATTTCCTGATGTAACCTTATTAATTAGAAGTAGACCATTATAGTTGGTGAGAACAGCCTCTGATTTATGTTTAAGCCCTTTGCACTTTAAGCATTACCTTTCTGTCAATATCTGTATAGCTCAGAATATATTTGTTTTATGTGAACTAAGGCCTTTTAACATCCATTTTAATGTATCCCCTTCTTGAACTCCCGAAGTTGCTTAACTATGAACTCCTGAAGGGAAGGAAGGAGTGGTATCTTATTCATACTGTACCCCTGTAGTAGTTGGTAGCAGCAGGCATATCTGGTGTAAAGGAAAAGCCTCAGGTTTTGATTGACCAGATCTGGATTTGAACACTTCCATTAACTCAATGACCTCTCGCATTCCCCAGCCTAGTCCTCTGTCATT